TTTTCTACTTTTCGGGAAGTATAAAAATTGGCTCTTATCATCGTTGCCTTTGAAACCCTTTTGTTTTCAACTTTTTTATTAGGATTATTATAAACAAAGAATTTTTTTTTCATTTATACGACACATTAAGATACTATACAAATATTGATTGTAATGATTGACACCAGGTTACTGCTAGGTTAGGTTGCCCTTATGGTACTACAACCTGTGTACACAGGGTCCCATAAAGGCGACCCAACCTGGACCATGCAAGGCTACCAGTGTACCTTGGGCGACGTGTCTCGCCTATCTATAGTAGGGGGCTCAGACAAGCCTCGGCACCCAGCCCTTGGCAGCATCACTGTCCCTAGCAGTGACAGACAGCCTTTAGTGTCATCACATAGCCCTTACTAGCTGTACACAACTAGCTACTTATAAGCCCCCTAGAAGCATCATGTAGATCTTAGGGGAGAATCAATCAGCCTCCCCAGAGACAGAGAGCTCTTAAGAGCCTCACACATCCCCAAGTTGCCACAAACATCACTTATCCCCTTGAAGACACACTGCCTTGTAATTAAATTTTAATATGTGTAGCATTTGAAAAACAAAATACAATTACAAAAGTTTGTCCATAGGAAAAATTCTTTGGTTACAAAGTAACTTGTGAACACGTAATAAATAACTAACTGAAAATAAAGGTAAATTCTTAAACTGGCATCTTTTATTTTAATGCTGTGCCAGCGAGAGTAAAACATTGTGTTATACAAATATAGATGAAACTACTGTACAAAATATCGTAACTTAAACAATGTTATGACATTGACTTATTTTGTACTTCAGTTTTATTTCCACTTGTATAACGAACTATTTTACTCTTCCTGGGACTGGATTAAAATATGCTAGTTTAAGAATTTACTGTAATTTTCAGTTCTTATTAAATCATTACATCTTGCTTGTAACTTTATGTCACAAGTTCTCTGTATTTTAAGCTTTTAAGTGAGCTGAAGTCACCTTAAGCATTCCATTGGTGGACCACAGCAGTGACGTCACCACTAGTAGTCTACGTCAATTGTGCAACAGACCACAAGAGCAATGACGTCATCACCAGTAGTCTGCCTCATTGGTGAGACAGAAGCCCTTCACTTTGCACATCACAGTCATTCCTTCGCTCACTCCTACACCTCACAGTGAGTCCTTCCCTCACTCCTACACATCACAGTGAGTCTTTCCCACACTCCTACACATCATAGCGAGTCCTTCCCTCACTCCTACACATCATAGCGAGTCCTTCCCACACTCCTACACATCACAATGAGTCCTTCCCTCACCCCTACACCTCAGTAGGTCCTTCCCACACTCCTACACATCACAGTGAGTCTTTCTCACACCCCTACACATCAGTGAGTCCTTCCCTTAATCCTACACATCACAGCGAGACCTTCCCTCACTCCTACACATCACAGTGAGTCCTTCCCTCATACTACACACCGCTGCATGTCTTTCCTTCACTCCTACAAAACACAGCAAGTCATTCCCGCAATCCTACACAACATGGCATGTCCGTCCCTCACTCCTATAAAACACTACAAATCCTCCTCTCACTCCTTAGGTCAGTAAGTCCTCCTCTCACTCCTTAGTAGGTCCGTAAATCCTCTTCTCACTCCTTAGTAGGTCAGTAAGTCGTCCTCCTCATTCATTAGGTCAGCAAGTCCTCCTCTCACTAATTAGCAGGTCAGTAAGTCCTCCTCTCACTAATTAGCAGGTCAGTAAGTCCTCCTCTCATTCATTAGGAGGTCTGCAAGTCCATCCCTCATTCCTACACAATACTGAAGTCCTTCCCTCAATACTACACATCACAGTGAGTCCTTCCCTCATTCCTACACATCACAGCGAGACCTTCCTTCACTCCTACACATCACAGTGAGTCCTTCCCACACTCCTACACATCACAGTGAGTCCTTCCCTCACCCCTACACATCACAGTGAGTCCTTCCCTCACTCCTACACATCACAGCGAGACCTTCCCTCACTCCTACACATCACAGTGAGTACTTTCCACACTCCTACACATCACAATGAGTCCTTCTCTCACTCCTATACATCACAATGAGTCCTTCCCTCATACTACACAACATTGCATGTCCTTCCCTCACTCCTATAAAACAATGCAAATCCTCATCTCACTCCTTAGGTCAGTAATTCCTCCTCTCACTCCTTTGTAGGTCAGTAAGTCCTCCTCTCACTCCTTAGTAGGTCCGTAAATCCTCCTCTCACTCCTTAGTAGGTCAGTAAAGCCTCCTCTCACTAATTAGCAGGTCAGTAAGTCCACCTCTCATTCATTAGGTCGTCAGCAAGTCCTTCCCTCATTTACGAACATCATTACAAGTCCTTCCCTAGGTCCTACTCAACATTACGAGTCTTTCCCTCATTCCTACACAATACTGAAGTCCTTCTCTCAATACTACACAATACAGCATGTCCTTTCCTCAGTCTTACAGTAATCAGTAGATACACTTTCAATACACCGTTATAATCTATTTTAGCAAATTTTATAAAGACTTGTCGAACCAACAGTAAATATTATACACAATACAACTTCCTGTCGTGTCGGGTAGACTGACTCACACATCTCCAAGTTGATATTCACAATATAGCCACAAACAGCCTCTGGTTGGATCAGACTACCCCTGACAACCTTACATAGAACTTAAATCCATTATACAACCATCTATGATCATCACACAGCCCTCATTAGCCAAACAGTCCGGGGCAGCAGCATATAAGCCCTGGGGGCCTCACAAAGCCCCTAGGAGTGACACACTGTACTGCCTCAGAACATTTACAATAAATACAATCTTTTTTTTTATTTACAATTTCAAAAGATTGCCCATAGGAAATGCTCATTGGTTACAAGTAAGTTGTAAAGCTGTAATAATTACTTAATTTTACAGTAAAATATTAAACTAACATCTTGTATTTCACTGCCAGGAAGAAAAAAATATTTTGTTTTGCAAATAAAGATGAAACTAAAGTCCAAAATAATTAAGTTGAACAAAATACTTCCTGACTGTCTAGTTACAAATCCACATAAAAGATTACAACAGTGTATTAGAAGTTATAAGCTTTGCAACGCCAAAAGTGTATATGGTCACTCCTATACAAGTCCTTCCCTCACTCACACACAACACTACAAGTCCTTCCCTCACTCCTACACCACACTACAAGTGCTTCCCTCACTCCTACACCACACTACAAGTCCTTCCCTCACTCCTACACCACACTACAATTCCTTCCCTCACTCCTACACAACACTACAAGTGCTTCCCTCACTCATACACCACACTAGAAGTCCGTTTCTCTCTCCTACAAAACCCTGCAAGTCCTTCCCTTACTCCTACTCAACACTACAAGTCCTTTCCTCACTCATACACCACACTACAAGTCCTTCTCTCTCTCGCCTACGCAGCCCTGCAAGTCCTTCCCTCACTCCTACATAACACTGCAAGTCCTTCCCTCACTGCTACACAATACTAGAAGTCCTTCCCTCATTTATACACAACACTGCAAGTTCTTCCCTCACTCCTACACAATACTAGAAGTCCTTCCTTCACTTCAACACAATACTGCAAGTCCTTCCCTCACTCCTACACAATACTAGAAGCCCTTCCCTCACTCCTACACAATATTGCAAGTCCTTTCCTCACTCCTACACAATACTAGAAGCACTTCCCTCACTTCTACACAACACTGCAAGTCGTTCCCTCACTTCTACACAACACTGCAAGTCCTTCCCTCACTTCTACACAACACTGCAAGTCCTTCCCTCACTTCTACACAACACTGCAAGTCGTTCCCTCACTTCTACACAACACTGCAAGTCCTTCCCTCACTTCTTCACAACACTGCAAGTCGTTCCCTCACTTCTACACAACACTGCAAGTCCTTCCCTCACTTCTTCACAACACTGCAAGTCCTTCCCTCACTTCTACACAACACTGCAAGTCCTTCCCTCACTTCTTCACAACACTGCAAGTCCTTCCCTCACTTCTACACAACACTGCAAGTCGTTCCCTCACTCCTATACAATACTAGAAGTCCTTCCCTCACTTCTACACAACAAAGCAAGTCCTTCCCTCACTTCTACACAACAAAGCAAGTCCTTCCCTCACTTCTACATAACACTGCAAGTCGTTTCCTCACTCCTATATAACACTGCAAATCGTTCCCTCATTTCTACACAACACTGCAAGTCCTTCCCTCACTTCTACACAACAACTCAAGTCCTTCCCTCACTTCTACACAACAAAAG